AGCCTTATTCATTGATAGTTTGGTTATCTTTAATTTGCGTCTATTATTAATCTCAAAACTCTTTTAAATTTACAGATTTTTCGCGCTGAATAGTAATCTGGCATTCATGCTGGCTTAATTTTTTGCCTAATTGGATAATTGAAATTTCTGTCATAATATGCAGTTCATTTGCCTCTTATTAAGTTCATTATAATTATGCCATTAACGCTCTTAAGCGTAACTATAATTCCTCTAATCACCTTTTTATCTCTTCTCCAAAGAGATAAATATGACTTTATAGCTCAAAAAATGCCATATTTGCAATATTTCATCATTCAGAATAATTGACAGAAAAGGCTTGCTATTTTAAGCAAAATCAGTGTTGTTATCTTCCGTTATTTGTTTTGTTTTCAGCCCTTAATTCTTTTCTAAATTTTTCCATGTATTTATGCTATTTTTCCTTTTTTTTTGCATCATCTAATTCCACTCTTGGTGCTATTGCATAATGTTTTTTTTATCTTTTCGATATAGCTCTAATTCCGTTGAGTATTGCAGATCGGGATTGCTATTCCTATGCGAACTGGTCACCCGTTACCGTCCATTTGGCTCAAATCCCATTTTGGAGGTGCTCAACTCTTCACGAAAACCGTTACCCTCAAAAATACCGCCTAACCAGGCTGAGCAAGTATTGGTTGTCAAGACTTCTTTACCTGATGTTGCGGTATCTGAGACTAATGCCGAACAGATGAGCTCTCCAGTTTCTTTGGAATCATCGCAATCCGCCCTTATCTCGACCTCGACGACTTCCAGCACAATCACAGCCTCCAGATCGACTTGTTCTGAAGGCCCGAATGCTGATGGCAAGTCCTTCTCAGACTCTGAGGCCACGAAGCAAGCACAGTTGCCATTGCAGCCACTTGCAAATGCATTTATCGGTCTCATTCGCCGCATCGTCTTCATTACCGCCTCGAACACTCATCTAGCCCTACCGAATCTGTTGGCGCTTAAGCAAATAGTGATACCTCTTATGAATGATGGAAAACCGGTCCCTTGCTTCGGTGGTTCGGTCCCAGTTGAGAGTCGCTTCCCCGATGAGGGGCTCAGATTGCTCTTTCAGACTTGTCTGAAGCTGTTGCTGGCTATGTCACCTCTGGTCAAGGATATTGCTTTACGAGGTTGGTGCTTGATCATTGAGATCTGTTAAAACCATAGACGTGGAAAATAATTCATTTCACCTTGTGGATATCATTTTTTATCAAGTCACACTAATTGATGGGCAAATTAATACTTTCTGATTGAACAGATAAATTTCCCAAAAGGCCTAATGTGGCGCGGACTATCAATGTTTATTATATCCCCTCCTTTTTTATTGGTCTCAATTCATCGAGTAAATGTGATAATTAGAATAATTCT